TAATAAGTAGTTTTTGAGAAAAAAGTACATAAAGTGAAAAATATTACATTTTGAGAAAACAGGCTTTAAAATAAAAATTTGTAATTTATTGAGCTCTTACTTTTTTTAGTTCTTTCCAGAAGCATACGAAGCATTTTCTTGACCCTCTAAGCCTATAAAAGCCCTTCTAGTGTTCTTTTTTTTTTTTTTTAACAATTTTGCCTTTTTTAGAATCTCAAGATGCTTTCGTTGGCTACACGAATCCTACGTACATCTAATTTTTTGAAGCATGACATATAGTTATAACTTGGTTCAATATCACAATGTTTTAAGATCATTAATTTTGCTATTTGACTTACACTGAACTGAGCAATAGCCATATTTATGCCTAGTTTTAGAATTTTTATTCCACAAATTTTGATCTTGGAATCACTGACCATATAGTGTTATTAATACCATACCATGTGTACTCATACACGTTTGGATAAACCCAGTACACTCTAATATGAATATCATATGGATTCGCGCTCATCAGAAAATTATACAAAGAGAAACACAGGTGCTCCTAACAAAGCTCATTTAATGTGCGTCAAGGAATAGCTTCATTTAAAAAATATATAAAAATACTTATAACCATTGTATTTCCTCATGCCATATATCATTTAAAACAGAAATATTTGAACTTTTAGAAAACATAAAAAAGTGAAAATTGATAATTTTAAAAATTTCATGTGCCGGACCCCCTTAACAACATTTTCTAGATGAAATAAGCACTCATTCCTACTTCTGTAACCATTTATAGCAGCATTTCTCAAACTGTGGGGTGCGCCCCCCTTGGGGGTCATGAAAACTCTACGAGGAAGGCGCGAGCATATTAAAAGTCGAAAACAAAAAAATTAAAAAATTTGTTCATTTACTACAAAAATTCAAACAAAATACATTGTGACGTAATAAAAAATAAAATGCACATTTACACTGATATGTTAAATGTATAAATGTACCAGTGCTACACAATGTACTTGATAATTAGTTTAACAATTTTAAGATAAGAACAAGTTTAATAATTACCAGTGACCCCATGAGATTGTCATATATAAAATTATATACAAAAATAAATACTTATCTTGATAATTTTTTTGTATGGCTTATAATTAATCCCTTAACTGCCGATTAAAAGTTTTGCGATTTGCTTCCCAATGCCAACCGTTTTCTTCGTAGGCGATGTATTAGGGCGGGAAGGAATAAAGAAGCAAATAATCTGAAATACGTAAATCCTTCGCAAACATTGTCCAGGTTCTTTTATTGCATTCCAAAGCCTTCGGAATAATTTTATGGATAACACTGCACCGGAAAGATCGCGTACTTCGGTACGACGTATATATACGTCCGGAGAAATTAACGTTTTGAGTGAGCGAGACGTTTATATACGCCGGTGGCAATTAAGAGGTTAAAGTAGTTTTGTAGTTCTAGCATCAAAGCATAGTATTATTGAATTCAATACATTGTTATTGTATGAGGGGCGCGATAAAAATTACGATTAAATATTGGGTCGCGAATATTGAAACTTTGAGAACTAATTTATAGTGATAACGGGACCAGTCACATTTCAACCAAATGCTCCCCAGATCATTAATCCTTTACCTCCAGCTTCCACAACTGGTTGTATGCAATCTTGAAGAAGAGCTTCGTGTTGTTCGAGACGAATTCTTTGCCTACCATCATTTGTAAAATGTGTAAAACGGCTATCACATCGGTTCATACAACTTTTTTCCACATTTCTACGTCCTAGGCTTTTTATTCTTTAGCCCAAGAATAACGATATCATTGATTTAAAGCTGACAGATAGGATTTTCTTGTTGGTTGTCGAGACTTGCCAGCCCAAAAAATTTAAGTTATCTTCGTGTTGTTCCGTGAGATATCTTTGTTTTCCAGTTTAAATAGAACTACTTTGTAATTTGTAGAGTTGTTAATCGTCTACTTTCCCTATTTTTATTCACGATCTGCTTTAATTTCCTCTCATCACGTTTTGCTATTTTCTCGAGTCTAAGTCGCTTAGATGAAGAAGTTTTTGTGCTAACTTTAGTTAAATATGCTTTATGTATTCTTATTACGCTTCTGTTTGATATTCTAAGTTGTTTGAAATTTCAGATACTTTTACACCATTTTGTCGCATAGAAACAATCTGCTCTCTTTTAAACTCACTAGTAGCTTTTCTTGATTCATCATAAAAAAACAGTCAGTTTTATAAACTTAAAACAATATTAACTTTTAAATAATAGAGTCGATTACTTTGACAAAAGTACACACATTTTCTAAGACATTAATAAATATTTTCTATAGTTTAAATTTAAGAAAGAACAAAAATATAAAAATAAGTAGAAGGAGGTAAGTCATTTGGCCACTACATTTAATCTCTCACAATGCCGAGATAGTATTTCTCAAAATAATTCAATCCTATTTCGAATAAATATTGGGTTGTTCGGAAAGTAATTTCTTGTATTCCATGCAGATGATTTAATTGTATTTTTTCACGCCAACTTCACACTTAAGCCACATAATAGTTATACGTTAAAAGAGCTGATATAGCAAGGTTTTGTATGAAAAAGTCCAATTAATTCTACACAATGTTTTTAGTTGATGCTCTTTCAAATGTGGAGAGGGAAAAGCAACATTTTCGTCATATTTTACTCTTATACTAGCGAAATGGTAAAAATGCCGTTCAAACAAGAAAAAAATTAGCCGATCTGCACTGAGAGGATGTATTGATAGTACCCCTGTGACAAAACTGGTTTGCAAAATTTAGATCCGGCAGTTTTGTTGTTAAAGATGCATCACGTTCTGGAAGGCCAGTGGAAACTGATAAAGACACAATAAATTCATAAACTGATGCAACCCTGTGAATAACAACTCATGAGATCACTGAGAGGTTAAATTTATCGAATTCATTTATTCATGACCATTTGAAAGGCCTAGGTTTAACCTCCAAGCTCGACAAATGGGTTCCACATGTTCTCACGGAAAGCAGTTTGTTTCGCATTGACGCCTGATTTGCTACTCAAACGTCAAGAAAATTATCAATTTTTGAAGTGCATCGTCACTGGGGAAGAAAAATACTTTGTTTTTAACAATGTCAAACTCAAAAGATCATGGAGTACTAAAGATGAACGAGCTCAAATCATTTCGAAAGCCAATATTCATAAAAAAAGATGAAATTGTCTGTTAGGTGAGATTTGAAAGGAATCGGGTTTTTTTAAGCTTTTACCTGGCAACACAGTGATTATTGTCATCAACTGGACAAATTAAATGATTCACTTAAACAAAAAAGGCCACAACTGATCAGGAGAAAAGGTATAGTTGCCCACTAAGTTAATGCCAGATATCATAGAATTTTGGTAAATCGCCAAAAGCTTTTACAGCTTGAATGGAATATACTGCCACATCCGTCATATTCTCTAGATATGGAACCTTCTGATTATTATTTGTTCCGGTATATAACAATTTTTTGGGGTGGTTAAAACTTTACTTCAAACGAGGAAGTCAAAAATCACCTTGATCAGTTTTTTACCAGCCAATAACAAAAATTTTATGAGCCTGGAATCGTGCTACTGTCAGAAAGATTGCAAAAGATATTGGACCAGAACGGACGATATATAATTTAATAAAATATTTATTCTCTATATAAAAATTTTCTTTCATTTTAACACAAAAAAACCGAAATTACTTTCTTAACAACCCATTATTTAATGATTTAGTGTTCTATGCAAGTGTTAGATTTCTGTTATAAATTTTATTGTTGAAGGTTTTTTTTTTCGTATATATATTAAAAAGCGATTAGTTTCTTTCTTAAATATGTAATAAAAATATGAATTTACAATCTACGAGTAAAACATAATGATACTATAAACAGTGGCATACCCAGACTACTTTTATGAGAGTAGTTTACAATTTAAAAAGCTTGCACTAAAAGCGCCGAGGCGTAATCTTTATGCTAAAAACTAAAATTGTCTTAGTGTTTGGAAGAGATTTGAATCACCAATTGTGTCTACTTCTCCACAGAATTAAATTTATTACATTATATTTATATATATATATTAGATTATTAGATGAAGATGCTGATCGTTATTAGAGGGAAACCATATTTTGATTGAGACAATGGTAGTATAATTTATGTACAAGTAATATACAGATTTGTATATACTTCATGACCTTCCATTCAATATTTTTAGACTTCATGCAATATTCGTAAGTTTTTTAATATATTTGATTAAATATCTTCACTCGAGCTTCCACTGAACTGCTACATAATGGCATTTATGACCTTCTTTCCAATATTTGATGTATTAACATCATTATGTATCAGCTCTATAAGGTCTGTAGATTTAACTGTTTACCATTGATTATCCATCTAAATAAAGTAAATAGTTTATTGTCTTTCTGTTGATATTGCTTTTTCGTGGTGTATCGTTCCTCCTTGCTTCCCTCTCTCTACCTCTTTTTGAAAAAGTATGCATTTTTATTACATTTTTTTCAGTGTCAGTTCATAAGAATTTATGTTTTGGGAAAATTTGTGATTGTGCATTCAGTGTAAATGTATTTAAAATTAAAATGAATGAGATCACACGTACAGAACAGAAGTTATTTAGAGTTCATTTCTGTTATTCAAATACAACAAATTAAAAAAAAGTGTGTGTGTACTTATGTACGCACGTAAGATGTTATACTTCTTTGGCGTAACAAGATTAAAATCTTTCTAACAATCTTTAGCAGGGCAAGCTGGGTCAAGGACGAAAGGCGGTCACGAGCAGAGTTGAACGATACTAACCTTCAGCAGTCAATCGGAACAGCCAAAGCTGAGATAATCACGATTTAAATAAATTTAAACACCCCCACACAGGGACAATAGGACCAATAATATGGGGAGGGGGTCGAAGGCGGGAATGATCTGTCCCGTTCTGCATATTTCTAGACAAAGCATTTTCGTATCCGTTCTTACGGAATGCAAAGCAAAGGTTCGCTGAAGCGAAGGGATAGCTCAGTGGTGGAGCGTTCGGATGCAGATCGAGAGGTACCCGATCCAAACCCGGATGCTCCCTTCTTCAGGGAAGTGAAGAGAAATATTTTTGAGAATTCGAAGGCGGGAATGATCTGTCCCACTCTGCATATTTCTAATGAAAGCATTTTCGTATCCGTTCCTACGGAACGCAAAGAAAAGGGTCGCTGACGCGAAGGGATAGCTCAGTGGTGGAGCGTTCGGATGCAGATCGAGTGGTCCCCGGTTCAAACCCGGGAGTCTTCTTCAGGGAAGTGAAGAGAAAATTTGGGGGGGGATTTTGAAGGCGGAAATGATCTATTCCATTCTGTATATTTCTAGACAAAGCATTTTCGTATCCGTTCCTACGGAACGCAAAGCAAAGGCTCTCTGACACGGGGTGTATAGCTCAGTGGTAGAGCATTCGGCTGCAGATCGAGAGGTCTCCGGTTCAAACCCGGGTGTCCCTTCTTCAGGTAAGTGAAGAGAAATATTTTTCTGAGAATTTCGAAGGCGGGAATGATTTGTCCCGTTCTGTATATTTCTAGACAAAGGATTTTCGCATCCGTGACGGGGTGCGAGCGCATTGTAAAAATTTACCCTCATCCTATTTCTCTAACGCCCCAAAAGAAGTATAACTTCAAAAATAAATTAGTCTCAAAATATATATATATATATGTATAAACTGTGCTCGCGTTATATACACTGAAGTACCACTGAATTAGAGATTCCTACATAGTAACGAGTTGGGCCTCTTCTGGCCTTGATAACGGCTGCCACCCGAAGGAACATAGATTCAACAAGTTTCATGAAGCGTTCCACACGGGAATGGCTTGCAAAATATTGGCTAAAGCTGTCCATAATTCAGATTCAGTAAGGTTCGTTGGTGCTGTGTGATGGCCTTTCACAATTAATTTCCAAAACATCTCAAAGATACTCAATAGGATTTAAGTCTGGGCTTCTAGGTGGCCAATTTATGACAGAAAAGTCACAGAAGAATGCTCATCCAACCAACCAGTAGCCAACCGAGACTTGTGAGAGGTACAGTTGTCTTGCTAGAAAACTCCATTACCGTGAGAATAACAGAACAGCATGAACGGATGAAGGTGATCACCCAGATACTCTACGTACCGAATTGCATTGAGGGAGGTTGGTACACGCACCAAAGATCCCAAACAGTGCCACGAAAAAACACGTCAGACCATGATTGAGCCACCGTACCCTTGTAACCTGGCATAGGATTCATGGTTTCATGAGCCCTGACGCCATATTCTCAGCCTTCCGTCAGCGTTAAGCAGTCGAAATCGAGGCTCATCTCTCCATGTTACTCGTTTCATATCATCTACACTCAAGTCTTTGTGCTGTCTTGCCCAGGCAAGACGTGCAACCCGATGCAAGCATTAAGCAATAGTACTCTCGTAGGTCGACGACTTCCGAAACCCATACGGTGAAACGAACGTTGCACAGTCCGTTTACTGACTGTATGACTGACACCGTCATACAACTGAGGGGTAATTCGAGCTAACTTTTGGCTTCGCTGGCTACGTACAATACACCTGAGCCGTCTCTCACCGCGCACTGTCAAGGCGAATTGTCCTTTGCAATTTGCCCGATCAATAGTTTTTTGTTCACCATCCATGTATTCTTGGTATACTCTAGTCACTGTTGACCTTGAAAATCCTAGCTGTCTAACGATTTCGGAAATTGAATGGTCCATGCGTCGCGCAACTACGATTTGTCCGCGATCGAAAGCGTCTCAATTAGGCAGTTTACTCATGCTGGCAATTCCAGCAACTAATTCAGAACAACCACAGCACGCGCTATATATGCAGTTACCACATCACCCTCACTTGAGCATAAATGGTGCGCAGCGCTACACAATTTGCATAGCCCTTGCTATCCCTAATTCAGTGTCACTTCAGTATATAAAAAATTACAATATAGCATATAAATCCCTAATTGTTTTAATCTAGTTAATTAACGGGTGAAAATTTTAAAAAAGAAACAACCCTCTATAATGCGTTTACTATTACACTGTTCTAATGTTTAAATCAGTATTTTTCAATGCATAACGGTTTATTTATAAGATATTTATGTGCAGATGTTAAGCAAAAATTCAGCAAAATTAAAAAGTCATTATATTTAATCCTTAAGCAGCAAAGAATCAAAATCCAGCCATTGGTTTCGTAATAAATTTGAAAGGTAATAACTATTAATATTTTTTCAACTTATTCTTTCTTTTTTTATAATTGTTTTTTGACATTTAGATTTAATAGGAAAGGGAAAGTTCTCCTACTTAAAATTAAAAACTGGATTGATTCATTTTTTCCCGATAAACTTAATTCATTTCAGAATTTATGCAATTAAAAACTCTGAGGATAAATCGAGTCATTAACTTTTTCCAAGAGGGAAAACACTGAGGAATTAGATCTTCATAAATGGCAACGCAGCATCTCTGTAATGATCTTTCCTCAATGAATAGCTGCAATGTTTCTACTCAGATTAAATCTGAAAGCTATGGAGAGAACACATTCTGGACACCAGATTTGTTTTGCACGCCCTATTAAACGTTAAAGTATATAAAGTATTCTTTTTAATCTTTTAAGCAGCAGAGAGATCGAAATTTATTTCCTCTGTATTTCCTTTTTGTATCTCTGCGTTATGCCTAAAATTTGTTTTTAGTATTCCTCCATGTAACGGGGGAATCAGCACCGAAACAGAACATAAAAAGAAAAAATAAATTAGTAACTATAAAGAAATAATGGTTATATTTGTTTTTTTCTTATAATAGAAACACACGTTACAGATTATAAGGCAATTTTCTTTTAATTTTAAAAGGCTTTTAAAAATAAATCTATATCAGCGGCACACACAAGGGGCGGAGCCAGGTCCGACCCCCAGCCATTGATTTTTTTCCCAATTGATTATAATTGTATGTATATTGTACGTAAAATTTAATTAAGAATTTGTTATTAATAATTAATTCTATTAATTAATGCTAATTATTCATTCAATAATTATTTTTTTTACTGTTTTTTGTTCCCGAAAATGGACACAATCAAAAGAATATGTTGGGCGGCGTATTGGAGCATGATACGAAATAGTGGACTTTCCACCCTGAACCCCCTCCCCCTTGAATAATTCCTGTGTGCACTACTGATCTATACACATGAAGTACGTTTTAAAAATAGAATGCAAACAATTGTGATAAATCTGTATATTAAACGAATTAATAGAGGAGTTTAAATGGCGCAGTTTTCATTGAACCAAAGGGAAAATATACATTAGAAACTTTACAGAAAACCAAGATTTCAAGATACTAAAATCAGTTTATACGCATATAATTCTATGATATACTTAAAAACACTGTCTATTTTGTTTATATTGTGCCTTTTTTTAGTTTACATTTATGAGGGGTTTTTTTTGTTGTTGTTTTGTTTTTTTAATTCAGCTTTTAATTTTTATTTGCTGTAATAAAATATTTTTTTAATGTTTTCAAACCATTAAGGACTCATTTAAAAACATCATTATCATATTTTATTGCCAACATTATTATTGCAACATCAGAATTTGTTGTCCTCTTGAACATTAAAACCATGAAACTGTCTTTATTTCTGTGTATAGTTTCTACCTTTTCTCTTAAACAGCAAAATAATCCATTTTATATTTATTCATTGGATGTAGCAAAAATATCAAAATCGAACAAATGACAACTAAACCTGCTGCATGTATATTATGTAAGAATAAGTTGTTAAAATATGTTTCAAAAATAATCTTAACATTGAAAAAGAGAAGAAATTGAAAGAGTATAAAGGAGAGAGAAAACCATTTCCACTTGCTAGAGACTAAACGGTAAATTCAAGACTTTTGTAATCCTCTTTACTAAAAGAAATTCCTATCTTTACAGAAAACACGACAAAGAGAAAATCTTGATAATGGATGATGTAATATTAAAGTATTTGGAACACATAAAAAAATGATTCGTATAAAGTAAAAATGAAAGACCGAGATTATATTTACTGACATGATTGTGAGTATATTTAGATACATAATGCACTTTGATAACAGGAGAAAAGGAAAAAGTGTATAAAATTGAGTTACTAAAATTTATGATTATAAATTATTTTAAAGAATCGTATATTTGATAAAGTTTTTAGACATTTATTATGTTCTTCAAGATTAATTTTAGGTTTAAGATAGAATAAATACCAAAGAAGTAAAATAAGAAAATGCTGTCTTATAAAAGCGAGTATCTATTCTACAGGAAATGAAACGCGCGTGAAAAAAATTCATTACTGAACATCTTTTTCACACTCACAAATAAAGAAAAAAGATTTCAAAAGTTCTGGGTTAAAATATTAATTCTGAATTAACTCTTAACGTGGTGGCGGGACCATGAAAAATCCTGACGTCAGCAAGTACTTTTGGTCAGTGACCCGTTAAGAATGGTTTATAAAGCAAGTTTTAGTTACATATTTGTTTATATTATTTCTGTGTAAAATATGTCCTCAAATACCAATGTAGTATAAATCATACAATATGTCCCAATTCATTATTTTATCCCAGAAAACTGTTTATTGCATAGATTAATATATATATATATATATATATATATGAAAATGTAACATCACACACACACATCTTAATCATTACAGTAATGACTGAATACTTATGTATGGCTTAAGCAAAGACACACAGTAGAAAGATTTCTTACAATACTACGTCGACTTAATGTATTTGCACTCAAAGTCGTGGACACTTTTTTAAAGGGGGGGATGGAGGGTCTGTGTGTTTGATTATTTTTTTTTTTTTTGGAGTTTTGTACTTAACTAATTCTTGTACTAATAGCAACGTTTCCTTCACCAAATATCTTTTAGTTGCTCGAATCATTAACCCTTCGTCGGGGGCCCCTCTGAACGAAACATAATCAGGCGCACCCGACCTGAGAGGCCACCGACTTATTTTAACTTTCCCTCTCCCCCTAATCAATTTTAATTCCAAACACTGGTAAAGGAAAGAAAATACATCAAATTGTACGGAAAAGTGCCGTTTAATGAACAAATGGAG